CCAGGGCCACACCAGATGCGGAAGCGCTGCGAATAGCCTCGAAGCGCCGAGAAGCGAAGCCAGTTTCCTTTCGGCGCCCATGTTAACCGATTGTGTCATCCACACTGGCTGCGCCGAGAGAGCGAGAGCGAGAGCGAGAGATGGGGCACACACACGCAAACAGAGAGAGAGGTACCCATGATGGAAAAACAGCCCCAAATGTGATGGAGACAACAGCTGGGAGCAGAAGCGCTTGTCAACCGGCGTGGAGAAATGCGCGTCTGATGTGAACAGGCTTGCACGAGAATTTTGGTGCGCTGCGCTTCGCAGCACTTCGTTGGCAGTGTGGCCCTGGCGTAACTGTCTTTGTCTGTAACCACACCCAACAGCAGCTTATCTTTAAACAGCACAAGCTGTATTTGATTAGAGGTTTAATGTGTGATATCTAGCCAGGCATAAGTGGAGCTGCCATGGGGGCATGGGAGTGGCCGCCCCAGGGCCCCCACCAGGTAGGAGCCCCATGACAGTCACCCTCTTAATTACTGACAGTGGTGGTCACTGTTATTACCCAATGGAGGGCCGGAAGGGGGCCCCTGTGTGTTCTGAACTCCACATCATCACTGTGCAGCTGATGCGTCATGCGCACAGGAACACTACTCATGCAAATTCAGCTGGTGTATTGAAAAGTTACAGCCACCTCATTCATGGTTACAATTGTAAACTAGCATGGGAATGACACTCACTAACAAAATCCACTATGTTCTGTGCAGACACAGTAAAAACACCATAAATCATAGATTAACATTTATTATTTATTTCAGTAAAACATCAAACTTAAAAGCTAATTTTAAAAAGCACTCTCATCAGTACCATCCATAATGGGCATTCTGGGGCACAGAGGTCACTGGGCTACAATGTAAATGTACGTAAGCCTCGTTCTGATCTTCACTGGTTTGGTATTTCAATTATTTTTAATCTAGCGGCCCATTCCTATCTGTAGCACCAGTGCCAAATCAAGTTTCAGCTGTCTGAGGCTCATTAAGAGCTCTTTGCTCTCGTACATGGATGAGGTCAGACTGTCAAACCTCACTTTAAAATAAATATTGACAAGGACGAAGTTTTGGTTTGCCACCATGAAGGAGAGGAAGATGAAGTTTTAAAAATAGGCCATGATACGTGTAGAGTTCGTTAACTGTTCAGATGATTTGTTCTATGGAGGACTGTTAAATGCACACATGGACTAAGTCAAAGCAGCAGACAGAGCACGGACAACTGATGAGTGAAAAAAATAATTTGTCTTCCAAAATTTACATGTTGGTTATGAAGAAGTCAGTCAGAATAATGTGTTGTTTGACTCCATGTTTACTGCATCTCAGCACCAGTCTGTGTCGCTGCCTGCACTATTATAGACAGACTTTGTTTTGGAATATGCCTGATATAGTGCTGTAGACCGCTGTGTCTGTTATGTTTATGTTACTGTGTGTAAGAAAGACTTGGCACTGACTGAGACAGTTCACTTGACTATTCAGTACCACAGCTGTCAATTAGCTGTGTCTGTCTGCCTGTCAGTATAACGTGGGAGGTGAAGGTGGAGAGAGCTAGCAGCATGGGCTAGTTAGCAGAAGCTCTGGGATAGCCAATTAGCTCAGATAGTCAACAGACGATGAAATGGAGTAGACTTGCACCGATTACAATTTTTTGGGCCGATACCCATTTCCAATTTGCAGAGAGTTTGGATGGCCGATTCCGATTTTGGCCTATTCTGATTTCATTTTTTTCAAACCACTCTACAGCACACAAGATATTGCAATATTTTCTACCTTTGCTTTATTAGAACATTTTAACCAAGATACAACCAGCTTTTCAATAATCATCTCAAACAAACAAACAAAAACAGTGACATGTTTCTTAACCTGTTAAGAAACATTTTTTCCTTTTTGCTCAACTATAATTTCAGGTACAGTATTAAAATAAATAAGTAAAAAAAGCATACATAAATAAAAACATTGATAAATAAAATATAATTCTTGGTGTATAGCATTTGTGGGTAATTTCTTGAAAAGACAAAAAGTATAAATATTCACATCAGTGAATCATCAGTATGAAAATTCACACAGGTCTTCAGGATGCACCCACCAGTAAGCGCGAGGACACGCATCTTCAGCACGTGGACACGCGCCTCGTCAGTTTCAAGTGGCACAGTGCAGCAGTGAGAGCTCTGCAGTTCAGATTAACACGGACAGTCAGCAACTTTCTCTTTCTCTCTTTTGATGTGTGTGCATTTGATGTTGCACAATGTCAATCATACGGCGCGCCGGAAATTTGACCGGTGTTTTAAATCGGCACATTTTAGACTGACTGGCCGGTTGCAGGTCATGGCAGATCACGTGAAAAACGGCCTGATTCTGAGCACTGCCGATAAATTGGTGCAAGTCTAAAAGGAGGTTTCACCACTGTTACTTTATTCTGCAGTACTTAACATCGACCATACATGCCAGGTCTCCACAGCACCATGTTCTCTTACCAGACATGAGCAGCAGAACACTGTCAATATAACCTGCACCTAACTTATTACTGTTGAGTCTTCTCGTGTGGATGATGGTTGGAGTAGTGTGGCGACACTATGTTCAACTCTCAACTCAAGTTATGTCGCAACAAAACAAAAAAAAGGCACCACCTCGTGGCACAATTTGGCATTGCAACAATACCACAAATTTGGCTGTTACTTCAGCACTGCACCGTCCTTGGTGCTGAAACATTTTAACTCGACTGGCAGCCTGTTTTCTTTATTTGTTCTTCAGAACAAACTTGTCCAAGAAAGTGGCTTTACTGTAGGTCTTTATGAGACATACAGGCTTGCTCGGCTCAACAAGTGACATGCGATGCATAGTGTATGGCTGTATCTCCTGATTTACAGTTGTGAATTTTAAAATGACTTAGTCACAAGAGCCCTCTGAGAAAGCTTCGACCCCACTGTGCTGAGAGTCTAGCGCATGCCTTTTTGCAACAAGAGCTTGAAGTGTAGTTATTAGCATTTACTAGCATTTAGCATTGTCACGTTGATCAATGCGTCATTTCATGCTGCATCTCTATTGGTAGGTTAGTAGATGTAGGTGGTACCAGTAGTCACACTGTGAGATGGTCTTCCCTAATTTCTGACACTGTCAGAATTTTATCCTAGGTTGTCTTTGATTGTAAGACTGTGACAACGGCCATCCTTGAACCTCTCACTGTGCGACGTAGGACCACCGTTTTAGAGCCACGACCAAAGATATCGCCACGTTTCTTTCACATTGGTCATCTTTCGTCTGGGACAGCCCAAAGTCACACAGTGTATACCCGGCTGAAAACAATATCCAATTCACGATATTCATACAATATCGACATGTTGCCCAACCCTACCTTTAAAGTGATCGTTCAGGTTTTTGGACATGAAGTTGTGTGAAACGCTGACCATCTGTAGCTCTGATGTGACGGTGTCACTACTCTCAACGAGCCTCCTGCTCTGAGAAATCGCCCATAGCTTACCGGAGAAAAAGTAGTTCTGAAGATGTACGGGGGCCACGTAACCAAAAGGTTTTAAGCTACAAAAAAGTATGCATGTGTTTTGTTAGACTATTTCAATAATTATAAAACATCCCTGCATTATGTCAGACCTTGCTATCAACTGGGACTATTTTCTGGCCAGTATCACTCCGCCGTGCAGGCCCGCAAGACAGCACGCCAACAGAAATCAATAAGACAGTTCATCACTACGCTGTGCAGGTGCACAGGATAGCAACGGCTAACGCAAACTTCATCGGCTGTTTCCAACAGAGAACCAGTAGGCTATTATTAGTGAGGAAAAAGATGTACTAGCCCTATATATACCTACTACTACAGCGCAAACACTGGCTCAGGCTCACGACACACCCTCGTCAGCTGCTGTAGGTAAACAGAGGAATACCAAAATGGTGCAAACAGCTGTGGGAATAAAAACATCGCCGGCCAATTGTAAAATGTACCAATGTGCCAAATGTAACCCGTAGGCAACTTTGGCTTGTGTCAATTGGGATGAACCTCGCTACCAAGCCGGCGAGGGTGAAGCAACTGCGCGTATGTCAGGCTCACTTCAGCTGCCCACAGATCCCAACGGACAGAGAAAACGGAATTTCCACACTGCTGTGCCCAAAGAGAGATATATTACCTAATACCAGTGTATATAACGATGTCTGTAACTGATTGTCTGTAAAACAAAATGTTTGATTGAACTAATAGCCTGTTGAGTTGTGGAGAGTACATTATACGCGGCCTCGTTTTACCGTAGGCATTTAGTTTATTATATTAGGCTAACTGCTAAATCCATGACATGAGTAATCAATCACATAGAAATGTGAATTCATATGTGATTACGACCAGTCTCTGCTTTGTTCTGGTGGTGAGTTAGCCAAAGTTGCCTACAGGTTACATCTGTAACAAGAAACCGATGGAATTGGGAGCCGGCGATGTTTTTATTCCAGCTGGGGAAATCACAAGTTGGCACCATTTTGGTATTCCTCTGTTTACCTACAGCAGCTGACGAGGGTGTGTCGTGAGCCTGAGCTGGTGTTTGCGCTGTAGTAGTAGGTATATATAAGGCTAGTACATCTTTTTCCTCACTAATAATAGCCTCCTGGTTCTCTGTTGGAAACAGCCGATGAAGTTTTCGTTAGCCGTTGCTATCCTGCGCACCTGCATGGCGTGGTGATGAACTGTCTAATTGATTTCTGTTGGCGTGCTGTTGTGCGGGCCTGCACGGCAGAGTGATACTGGCCAGAAAATAGTCCCAATTGATAGCAAGGTCTGACGTAATGCAGGGATGTTTTAAAATGATTGAAATAGTCTAACAAAACACATGCATACTTTTTTGTAGCTCCGGTAAGCTACGGGCGATTTCTCAGAGCAGGAGGCTCGTTGAGAGTAGTGATACCGTCACATCAGAGCTACAGATGGTCAGCGTTTCACACAACTTCATGTCCTAAAACCTTAACTATCACTTTAAGGTGTGAATTGTATTGGTAGGAGAAACGGAATGCTCATCTTTCCTTTTGATACTTCAATAATAGATATTATTTTCTTGCAAAAAAACCAACAGATTGTCTAAACACAGAGTGACCGTAGGTTGAACAATAGATTTGAACACTTATTAAATGATAAATCAGAAAGAGGGGACATCTCTAAGAAAAGTGAGGGAGAAACAACATTTTTCCCTTTTTTTAATTAAAAATGGTGACAAACAATATCAAGATATTCTATAACTGTACATTCCCCTTTTTGTCTTACTGTATGCCAACAAGAGAAAACCACACACTGCTGCTTCGATAAAAGGTTATGAACAAATTGTCCTTGATAGCACTCCACAACACTTAATAAGAAATAGCAAGAAATTACCCTCTTTGTTTGCCTATGACACCTATTTTGAGACTAAGATTTTTCGTACTAAGGAAGAAAATCAACTGATAATACAATCCTTTTTTTTGGTACACATTCATTTGCAGGTAGTTTTCCTTTTTACATGTGAGGTTTATTTTAAGGAAACTGCTCGTCTTTTTCTCTATATTTCTCTGATCGTTTTTCGAGGTCATTATTTTAGTATTAATTTACTAAGCTGCCCAGGATTGTTGTACTCCATTGTTAATGATTAGGGTTGCAACGGTATGAGATATTCATGGTACGATAACCATCTGAGAAAATAGCACGGTTTCATGGTATCACAGTATTACAGAATTTATATCATTATCAGTCAGAATGACCCAGAAAGGAATGAAAACAAAAGGGTTAACTTATTGTTGGTTCGGTGTTTGTTTTATTGTGTAATTGTTTTATTTCTGTAATTGAAACTTGAAACCATTTTGTTAACGAAAGTATGTTTAAAAAGTCTCCCCATAGAAAATAACTAAAATAAAGGGGAGATTCTCTTCCCAGATTCCCGTTTTTCTCGTATAAGCAAATGTACATGTATGACAACCGTCAACTTTTAGATCATGGTATATCTTGAAACCGGTATTTCGTTGCAACCCTGTTAATGATATATATAATATATGACAGTTAGCAATATACTGCATTTAATCTATATACTGTATATACACTGCATATAGAAAATACTGGTTTAAAAAATGTTTCTTCTATAGTGTGTTGCTGGATTTTTATGAGTGGAATGTAACCTGGTGCCATTTACTCTACATTTTTGAAGTATTTACATTTGAGTTGATCCCATTACTCTGCGTCATGTGAGCACAGACATTTTTGTCTGGCTTCCGTGTCCTCAAAGGTAACCTTCTTGTGTCTCTTGGGGTCAATCCATGAGTTATGGATGACTACATTGTTTGGTGTAGGTTCAGCTTCTACTACAGACACCACCCTCTTCTTCATCTTGCTTTTTAAAACCTTTTGGAACTTCTGTCGAGTAAAGGCGTAAAGAAGTGGGTGAAAGATAGTGGTTCCATAGGCCATCACCAAGAAGCCCAAGCGAAGGCGAACAGTTAAATCACTGAGTCCAGTGCTGAGGATGATGGTGTTCAGCACAGTTATTGGAGTCCAGCAAAGTAAGAATGTGGAGATGATGAGAAGGGACATCCTGAAGACTCGTTTCTGCCTCTCCCGTCTCTCTCGATGACGCTTTACTGCTCGTCTTAAAGCAATAATGACTGACACTGATGTCCGCATGCCCAAAGGTGCACTCCCACCTGCCCTGACTCCTGTGCTGCTCTGTGAAGCGTCAGTCGACTCTGCTTGTGTTGCAGTGCTCAAAGAGATAGCGTTTTTGCTCTTTTGCTTCTTTTTAGGTAGGTTGTGCTGAAAGCGTGTTCCAATGCGGATGTTAAGTGCCTGAAGGATCTTGTAGTAAGTCACTAGCATGACCACAGCTGTAAAAAAGAATATAGGGATCTGTGCCAGCAGGTGATAATACAAACCCAGCTCTGTGTAGTATTCATTTGTATGAGTCACTGTGACCACTGCAGTCTGGTTCACAAGGTCTGAACTGTAGTTGATGAAAAAGCCTACTTCCATAAAGGGAACCAGGAAACTGAAAAAAGACAGAGCCCAGATGGATCCGATTAGAGCCACAGCTCGGCCCATCGTAAGCACACGATTTGCCGGTCGCACTGAGATGTCATAGCGGTCTACAGTGATGGCCAAGACATTAGCAGCAGTAGCTACACTTGCAAAGGAGACACAGGCTTCATGGAAACAGCAGATCATGGCTGTGTCTGCCTCCAGAGGAAGTAACACCACCACTGCTGTCAGCGGGATGCAGCATACACACACCTGAAAACAAGATAGGGAATCAAGTCACATCTGAAAAACATTATGTTTGTTTCATTTAATCTAAGATTGTTTGTTTAACACCAGATAAAACTAGAACATGGATGGAACGTCAAGTCCCAGTGTGTACAAGCATGATTGTTTATTTTCTGAATCAGCAACAGTGCTGAGAGGTTGTTTTTTTTTTTTTTTTTTTTTTTTTGAGCACCAGAAGTCTCAGTATCAAGGTACTAGATGTTACAGTAAATCCCTCTTGGCACAAAAGTAACTGATGTTAATAGATCAGCACTCACCAACACATCCACCACATGCAGGTTCATAGTGATGATGTTGGAGACGGAGCTGATGAGGTTCTGTTTCATACAGTACAGGACAAGCACAGTGAGGTTGGAGCTCAAGCCCAAAACTATCTCCAAAAGCAGGAAACCTGTCAGAGAAACCTACCAACAGAAAGAACAAGGTGGCATATAATGTGACTTTCAGTGTTATTTTAGTCATAATAACACATAATTATGAACATGTGGAAGATTTAATTTATACTTTATATAACCAGGGAATCTTCTTACTTACATGATGTGTTTTAGTATCCAAAATCCAAATTCCCAACCCATTAATGAGCCGGACAGTTACCAGTTTCCTGAAAATATCATATACCTAAAAAGATCTCAATGGATTGACTTGCTAGCAAGAAAATGTCATGCCATCATGTCATATCCATTTGATTATAAATGCCATCTGAGATGTGAGGCTGCAGCATTACCTGGAAGCTGATGGGGTAGATGGCCTTGTCAGAGGTCATGTCAAGGTCATAGGGGTCAGCAATGTCAAGCACCGTCATGTTGCTCATGGTGGCTGCAGAGATCTGCATTGGGGATGTGTGCATTATCCTAATGGGAGGAAGAGGCCTGGAGAGCAGTTTGCACAAAAAGGTCCATTCCATAAACATTAAAGGCATATCAAATTCTACCAGATCTTTGTATTTTTCAACTAGAGATTTGTTAAATTGCAACTGGTACTGCCTCTTTTTTGGAAAGACTGTTCTGTACACAGGCAGTGAGGATGAGATCAGGGTTACAAGAGGCAATGGGCTACTGATAATATGTCATTCACCTCTTTTGACTCTTCTGCTCCAGAATAATTTAGTATCTATGTTTTTTTGCACATTGACTAGAATGTACTCTAACCACTGTACTTGTTGAGCTACACTTCATCAAGACATTACATGGGTATAAACCATCTGGCACAATGTGCTCAGTAGGGTTGGGTCGGTATGAGAAAAAAAAAAAACGGTTCGTTTTTTGTAAAAAACAAAAACAAAAAAAAAAAACGCATCAAGTCAGTAATACCGTATTTTCGCCACTTGGGGGCGCAGTTGACTCATTTAAAATAAAAAACGACCTTAGGACAACAGAGTGACAGCTGTTTCTTTTATTCCTTACAAATAAATTTTGCAGCTTACTCAATCAGTGCAAACAAGGGTAGGCTGACCAAATGTCCTCTTTTGCCCAGACACTTTTCACGTCCCGTCCGGGGCGTCTGGGTTTTTTTTTTATAAACTGATGATAATGTCCGGTTTTCCGTGTGTTTGTGTGTGTGTGTTAGAGTGCAGCACGGGCCGCATATTTCTGTCCAAACCCGAACCGAGCCCGACATTATTTAATGACCAAAGCACTGAGTTTGTCACACAGTGGTTACAGGCTATTTAACAGGACGGGTGTGCGCCGTGGGTGCTCAGCTGCTGAGAGGGAGACCTCTGTGTTTGAGACGGGAGCGGGAGGCGGGAGGTCCGACGCTTCCAGCGAGAGGAGAGGGAGAAATAAAACAAAATAAGATAAAATAGGAAAAACCCGTCTCCCTCTTTCATTTTATTTTCAGCGTTTAATCAAGGCGGAGGCGGGTGGCTGGAGGTCCGAGACTTCCAGTGAGGGTAGAGGTAGAAACAAACAGCCAATGTGTGGCTGTGTGTGTTATGTTCAGGTGTTGTCACGTAAATAACAGTGCCCAAGCAATAAACAGGACAGACAATAGGATTTTATTTATTTTTACACTACATTTCCACTGAAAGCTGACCGAATCCGACCCGAGCCCTAATACAATTTATAGCTACATTTTTTTTACCAAACCCGGCCCGACCTGTCGGGTACAGTCGGGCTCGGACCGCCACACTCTAGTGTGTGTATGTTTCCCCTATTGGGGCCTATCTGAATTTCTGTCTTTGAGAGTTATTATTTTGTAATATAACTGAATTTTCTATCCATACATATAAATTTTAAATATATTAAAATTATAAGGCATCTTTGAGTAAATTGCGAGTATCATTTAAGTAGGCTTTGTCGTGACTGGGCCGAGTGTCCTCTTTTTTGGAAATCAAAATATGGTCACCCTAAACAAGGGTTGCCTCCTTTGTCTGGCTCAAAGCCAAAGTGTTGCCATAGTGGCGCATTCTTTGATTTCGTCGAGACTAAATTGTCCGCCATTATCGACTCCCCGTCACTATTAAACAAACTCCAGGCTACAGTAGAGGTGCATGCGCACTCGCACCTCCTAGCTCAGTCCCCGCCCCACCTCCCTCTCTCTCCTGCTTGCTGTGCGCTTGGTGAAGACGCAGACACAGGTGCTCACAGACTTGGGCTTACTACAAGCGGAGCGGACTACGTGTAAAAATGTCCGTGAAAAATCCCCGCGATGTGAAAAATACATGCCGAACAGTCCTTTGTGTGACACTGGTGCGCGGAGCAAAGTCCGCGCGGTTGTGCTTTGCGTGCACAGGGCTTGCGGATGTCCACTTTTACTGGGCGGACCTCTGCGGCATCCGCTCCGCGTACGTTCTGCCCGAGTATGCGGTCCGGTCGGTCTCAAAAAATAAAACCCGGTCCAAGACGGAGTACCGGACCGAACTGGTATTACCAAGAACCAACCCAACCCTAGTGCTCAGCACTGCCATACAGAATCAATCCCAATCAGTCTACTCACCCATTTTAATGGTCCAGTGTGTAAGATTAAGGAGGATTTAGTGGTATCTAATGGTTAGGACTGCAGATTGCAACCATCTGAAACTTCTGCTGGTTAGAATTCCTTCACTGTTCATTGTTTAGGAGGTTATTACCATCAGCCAAATTAGTTGGACTAAAACCGTCTTTTTCAAATACATGTAAACATGCTAGTCCAACTTAAAGGGGAACTAATGTTTTTTTTAACCTGGGGCCCTATTTTCCGATCTACTTTGTCTAAATGAATGATAAGATGTTCAATATTTGACATTTTTCCAGTACGAAGCTAAGGGTTGACCTGCCTGCAGCCCATGAGCGCACGCTATATTAAATAATAGGGCACTTGGACAGCGTCAAACAACGTCAAAATACGTCCACTAAAAGTGCATTTTTTTCACACAGATAGGCTCGGATTGTTAGTGTAATTATCCGACAACATAACGTAAAGGAGAAATGAACGTCTGTGTTTACCTTTAGCTAGTCTCGCTCACCAGACCTTTCTCAAGAAAAGAAAGGTCTGGCTGGGCCGACTCTCATTTTAAGATTGGAGAAAAAAACACCCCGGCTGCTTTCAACCAATCACAATCGTTCTTGGCGGTGCCACAGCAACGGTGCGCTTGCAAAAATATCGCCCGGGGGAAACAGGTTTTGGTGTAACACGCCCACAAAAATATCGCCTACAGGATGCGAACCATGGCAGAAAAATGGCTACATCCCCGCAAGATCAAACACCGCAAAAGTTAGTAAAGGACGTGCTGAAAACTGCAACCGGAGATGGTAGGGCGGGACTTCAGTGGGTGGCTCGTTCCGCCCAATGAGAGGCTGATCTTTGCAGCGAACTTCCAGCCACTCAGACTAACCTTTTAGCTGGATTCGGACATGTTCCTCTACCTGTTGCAATTTTAGTATATGTGCTACTGAAGTAACACTGCTCCCTCTCTCTCTTCGTCCGCTATTCAATTTCAATGAGCTCTGCATCCATGTACGTCTGTGTACTCCATGTTCAAATAAATACAGGCGGTTATCAAATTCAAATGGCTCATCCAGATCCAGTTGGTAAAAATTCGGACATGTTTGTTGTGGCAAGTCAAAACACTCACTCAGAGAGTGAAAGTCTGGCTCTAAAATCTCACGTTTCGCGAGATTTGAGTTGTTGCAGGAAGTAACCGCTGGAATGACCTTACCAAACACAAGGAATTACTCTGTTTTGAGTAGTCATGGCTGAATTTTTACCTGATTTTGACCAACTGGATCTGGGTGAGCCATTTGAATTTGATGACCACCCGTATTTATTTGAACACGGGGTACACGGACATACACGGATACAGAGCTCATTGAAATTGAAGAGTGGACGAGGAGAGAGAGGGAGCAGTGTTACTTTGGTAGCACATATACTAAAAATTGCAACAGGCAGAGGAACATGTCCAGAGGAACATTGTGATTTGTGATATTGGGCTTTATAAATAAAATTGATTGATTGATTGAATTGAATCCAGCTAAAAGGTAAACACAGACGTTCATTTCTCCTTTCCGTTATATTGTCGGATAATTATACTAACAATCTGTTTAAAATGCACTTTTAGTGGACATATTTTGACGTTGTTTTACGCTGAGTGCCCTATATATAGCGCACGCTCATGGGCTGCAGGCAGGTCAGCCCGAGCTTCATACTGGAGAAATGTCAAATGTTGAACATCCTATCACTCATTTAGACAAAAGTAGATCGGAAAATAGGGCCCAGGTTGAAAAAAACATTAGTTCCCCTTTAAACTGGACTTTTAAAATACATACAAACATTAGGGTGGGGAAAAAAAATCAACACAGCATAGTATTGAGATATTTGTGTGTGGCATTATTGTATTGTCACACGGTATTGATTTTTAGATAAACTATTACTATTACAAATGCAAATTAAATTTTAGGTAGCCTACTAGAATAATATAATAAATTGCTTTTTCAGTCCACTAGATACATTTTACTGTTGCAAAAAAGTGGCTGAAGTGAGATGAACAGACTGAAAACTTTATCTTATTAGACACTTTAGGGACACTATGGACACTTTATGGACACCACTATAAGCATTGCTGTCCCCCATGTTGTTGTTGTTTATTTGCACATTCAATATTCACTTTGCACTAAATATGTTCACTTTAATCCATTGCTCACTTTTTATCCACTGCTTATCATCATTATTATTATTATTATTTATTGCTGTTTCTTGTATTTTTTGTGCTTTTTTCTGCCTGCCTAGTTTTTTAAATTTTTAAATATTGAAATCTTTAATTTGAATCTTTACCCTTGACTGCTGTAACACTGGAATTTCTCAATTGTGGGATCAATAAAGGTGTATCTTATCTTATCTTATCTTATCTTATCTTATCTTAAAAGAGATGTTGGCAGTTTTCCTTTGAGGTCATAATTTACAGTTAAAAAAGGTAATAAATCGCAACATATCCCAATATGTTTAAGATTGTATCTTGACTTAAATATCATGATAATATCGTATTGTGGATCCTCTGGTGATTCCGACTCCTAGTAAACATGTAAGTCAGACTGAAATTGTACTAAATCGAACTTTTCAAAGTCGGACTAACACCCAGATAATGTGATTGGGAGTCAACTTACTGCTGCATGTATACAGTTAATCTGACCCAAACTGGCCTAGGCGCTCTGTGCATGCTCCACAGTTTCTGCCCTGGGCTTTGACCCTTAAGTTGAATAGCATTGAATCTGTAAGAGAAAAAGAAGGCAGTAACAACATGGTGAAATCTACATCCAGAGCCGAGCATTTTTGGATGGACTAGGGGACACAATTTATGTTGTGTCAGCTGAAAGAGCGTACAGCGAAATGTACAGAGCTATAAAGTTGCCCACCATGGTACCAGTTTGCTGTGAGCTAACCATAGCTACCTTGTCTGTCGATTGTTTGGTCTGTGATGTAATAGGTCAACCAGAACAAGGTCCAATACTAACAAGCTGAAAGGACGCATATTGCCACCTATTGTAGCAGAGTTGGACATACCTGGGTCAATAAATGGATTCCCCTCCTGTGCTTGTATACTGAGACAAGGACAGTAGTCCAATTAAGTGGCCTCGTCAGTAGCTCCACTTAACTGTGCATGTAAACATACTGGGCCCCGTTTCCCAGTTTCAGTGTACCTTAGCACTCTACAAAGGTCTCTAAGATATACCTTAGCTAAGGAACTTCTTTTCCTACGAGTGTTTCCTAAACTGCCCCTTAGCGGGTGCTCGTAAGGAGAGCTACCAAGGTACATCGTAAGTTAGAGCTGTCCTTCACCATGGTGCTGAAAGTGTATTAATTGTTGCTGCACACATCGGTTGATCTCATATAAAGGTAAATAAATGACATTGTAATATAAAAAGTATTGCCATAATAATCCATCAGATATTAAGTTTAAGTTTAAGTTTTAAGTTTATTCACTTTATTAATCCCCCTGAGGGAAAGAGTGGAGAGATCTCAGAGTGAGGGGGCTGCCCTTTGGTCAGGCGCCCCGAGCAGTTGGGGGGTTCAGTGCCTTGCTCAAGGGCACCTCGGCAGTGCCCAGGAGGTGAACTGGCACCTCTCCAGCCACCAGTCCATGCTCCATATTTTGGTCCGGACGGGGACTTGAACAGGCAACCCTCTGGTTCCCAACCCAAGTCCCTATGGACTGAGCTACTGCCGCCCCCATATCATAAATGAGGCTATGCCTTTTACAGAACATCTGCTCATCTATTTGAAGCCTAGTCCACACATACACAGGTATTTTTAAATGCAGCACTTTAAAACTAAATTTCCTTCCAGACGAGCATTTTAGCACCATTTCAGGAAAAATCCCCCTCCTGATACGCCTGAAGCATATCACATTAAAAATCACATCCCATTATAAACAAAGAGACTAATGATGAAGCAGAGAAATGTGATTTCTGCTCACCAGTTGTTATTGAAACATTTATAACAGCATACATGTTTGTCTGTCTTTTTCCATCATTGCAGTTCAATGCCAGTTTGTGTCTTACATATAAGTTTTCCAACATCAGTCCTGTCAATGTACAGACTGCAGATCTGTTGTTGTCACACAATAGGCACCTGTAGCAGCAGCATATCCATGTTTCATTGCTGTGTGTGTGTGTGCCGTAATTAGCGAGCAGAGGCGACGCGCTTGATCGCCTACATAGCTGGTGCCGCCCGCTTGATTAGTTTCCAACTGGCCTCATTAGACTTCCGTTTGATCAATTTATCAAGTATCTGTCAGATATTCACATGTCCTCAGTTATTTAGCTCCATTAAATACATAAATTAATGAATAGATTAATAAATAAATAAATAAATAAACCTATATATTCATAATATTTGTTATTATTTTTCATGAAGCTAATTTTAAACTAATGACGTAATTTGCGCAAGGAGTCTAGATGTGAATTATACTGCAACTGTTCATTTAAAAAGCATAATTTTGGCCTAATAAAGCTAAAACTGTGACATGATGAACTGAGCGCATCACTGAGGGACAGCTTACGAGTGGTTCAGACCGCCCTTCTTAAGATATACCTTTCAGAGGATATATCTTCACTAAGGAGACTCTTGGAAACAGCCCGTAAGCATAAGGGAGACCTAATGATACAACTTATGATGCACATAGCTCTATGAAGGCTCTGGGAAACAGGGTGCTGAGTGTTTAGCATGTCGGAGACGGGTGGCTTGCCTCATCACATGCTAATGAGTGCTCACCCTTTTTCTCTAATAACACAATAAGAGATGCACCAGAAGGCCTGGCGTGTGACAGGAAAGGCATGTGGGGGAGCGACAGTACGAACGTATCACTCCACCTATGCAAGAACATGAATGTTAGCAAAGGAGAGAGAGAACAGGAGAGAAGGTGCTCACAGCCCAAATAAGCAACTACGCTTTAGAAACAAGCCCAAAAAAAAAACGCGACCCATGACTACCAATATTTGTAAGCGACTTTACAGAAAAACAAGCCCAAAGTCGCTTATAATAAGCAGACTTGGCAGCACCGCCCAGCACTCGAGATCAGTGTTCCTCCAACAAGGTTTAGCATGTCAGAGACAGACGGCTCGGCCACCACTTGCTAATCTGTGCACATCATCTCTGATAACTTAAGATCCAGACTTCAGGGAGGTTTTCACCGGGGGGCTGAATTACCCACAGAGGTCTCTTCCTCTCCAAGACAAATGGACTCGTGATTAAAACTGGTAAAAACATTGAATAAAGCAGTTTCACATTATTAATCAGTGTTTTACCAACAATGCTGCAGATGCTGCTTGTTGCAGATGGACTTCTATCTATGGTGGCTGCTGCGAAATGGCCGTATCTGAAGCCAGTGTTTGGTTTTCTGGGCTACTGTGGAAACGTGTCAGTGAACATGGCGATCTCCATAAATGAGGACCTGCTGTCTATTTAGATATAAATGGCTCATTCTATGGTCAAGAAAACACAATAATTCTTATTTTTAAGTGATTATATAATAAAGAAAACAGACATATTATATTAAATACCATTTCTGCCAATATATCCCCCTAAATCCTGCACACTGGACCGTTAAGTGATGTTGAAACTGCACGAGCATAATTTACATGAATGTATACCCACATACATGTACACAAAACACTACACTCTTCACTGTAGAATTAGAAGTCCATTATTGATATTGGTATTGACACCTTTAGCCAAAATTAAAGGGATGGGAGCTCATCTTTATTTTTCCATAACTCACAGGATGACAAGTTAGAAGAGCCTGTCCAACAAATGCACCGTTTGAGAGTCTTCGCTTGCTTGCTGACCCTAAACAAACCAAAAGAAGGTATACTAGAATATGTAGTTTATGGTCCTTGGTTCCCCTGAAGGTTTGGACTAAAGAAAAGTGAGTGTAGGTGTGATACTAGGCATACACTTACCACTCCCTCCCAGCAGTGTCCTCTCCAGCTCAAAAGCAATAGTAGTGGCCACAAGGAACTTGGTGGAGCATATCAAACCATCCCACCATATTCTGACTTCACAAGATCAATCTTCACTTCATCCCCTTGATTTACAGCATTCTCTGTGTAAGAGAATTTGACGGACTTGTCAAGTCTTCTGTGAGCTTTAGCTTTGGGGATACTGGCTCCACTCAAGCAAAGAGAAAAGTCTGTTTGTGAAACACAGAAAGCAATACACACCCGCCCCTCGCTGGGGGACATGTGGTTTGCAACATCAGTGCATTGCACTAAGATCAATGCTTTCTTTCATGCATAGCTCTGTCTCATCATTGTCTGTTGTGCTTGAACCGTTGTCTACAGTCTCATCCCCACTTGAAAATGATGCCAGTGCCAGAACAATACTCCTGTCTCCACTTTTCTCCACTTTTCAGGTAATGTATGTCTATCACACTCATCCCGATATGGTCCGTAGCACTTTGACACCAGGTTTGTATTTTCATATTCCAGAGACAATTGAAGGAAGAATGTAGAGATGACCAAATCGAGGCAAGGTTCCCAGTAGTAATAGGAAACAAACTTGTTTGGTTGTTCCTCTGGACTCGACCCAGTTAAATCCTTCACATTCAGGTGATCCAAGGGGAGGCCAAGTTGCACCACAGGTCAGAAACCTGGACGTAGGACATATACAGTCCTTAGAGACCACTCAAAGAGACTCATCCCTTGACTCTTGGACATTCACAGCCTTTGCACTCCCCTTTTTATCCTTCATGGACTGCCAGAGAGGAATCGAGAATGATGTCATATCCTATCATCGTCGTCACCTTTCCTTTTGTTCCTCCTTAGTCACATGCCATCTCTGATCCTGCAAAGGGAAAGGGTTCAAGATTTGAGTAAAATTTTATGAAAAAAGGACATTTGTCACATTGAAATCAGATCTTTTGTCCTTGTTTTGCATGTTGCATCACGTCTCCTTCCTAATTTCAGCTCATTTATCATCCCCTGACAGACAGCTCACTCTCTGTGCTAATTGGATGCCTGTCTCTGTGTTTGCACTTGTGGTTGTGTGTGTGCCAAATGTGCGTTTAATCAGGTTTGATGCCTTGCCTTTTATCTTTGATGATTCTTGTCATGTGTTGTTCAGCAAACGAGCATTGAAAACTGTGAACTTGTTTTCTGCAGATTGTCCGAGTGTATGAAATGATATGCTGACTAACTGTCACAACATCGGGCCTCACACTGTTTCAGTCAGGACTCAACTGCAGGGCTCCAGACTATCCTTTTACATTGTTTGCAGTGGTGCAAATCATTTTTTTATATAGGTAGGTGCATCTAAATTTTTTCATTGTGTCTTTTGGCACCACAGTAACACATTTTTAATTCATTTTCAATTCAGTTTTATTTATAAATCCCAATATCACAAATCACAATTTGCCTCAGAGGGCTTTACAGCATATGACGTCCCTCTGTCCTTTGGACATTCACAGCGGATAAGGAAAAACTCCCCCAAAAAAACCTTTTATTGGGGTAAAAAAATGGTAGATACCTCAGGAAGAGCAACTGAGGAGGGATCCCTCTTCCAGGATGGACAGGCGTGCAATAGTAGTATTCCATATGACAAAATGATACATAAAGAGAGACAGAGACAGAGAGAGTAATGACAGTAGCTTATAACATTAATGTAAATAATAATATTATGATAATAATTACGGCTATTGTGGTACAATATGTTCTAAGTATATGTTAATATATGATGGTATATGTATGTGACAATAATAACCATATGTGTATAATAACATTAGAGGTATGACTAATAGTAACAGCAGCAGTAGGCAGCATCAGGGATGACCACAGCAGCAGCACAACCACATCACATGATCCAGGCACAGCTGCGATACGAGGTAACCTGCCACACAGTGGAGCTCAAAGGCTCCTGAGAAGAAGCCGAGTTAGTGGCATGCAGTAGAGCTGAGTCAGCGAGTTGCAGTAACAGGACATGGATGTTAGCAAAGGAGAGAGAGAACAGGAGAGAGGGTGCTCGGTATATTATAGGAAGTGTAATATAGGAGGTCCCCTGGCAGACTAGGCCTATGTCAGCCTAACTAGGGGCTGGTCCAAAACAAGCCTGAGCCAGCCCTAACTATAAGCTTTATCAAAATGGAAAGTCTTAAGTCTAGTCTTAAATGTGGAGACGGTGTCTACCTCCCAGACCAAAACAGGAAGATGATTCCACAGAAGAGGAGCCTGATAGCTGAAGGCTCTGGCTCCTGTTCTACTTTTGGTGACTTTAGGAACCACGAGTAACCCTGCATTCTCAGGGCGTAGTGTTCTGGTGGGATCATAGGCTACTATGAGCTCTCTAAGATATGACAGAGCCTGATCATTCCTTGTAAGTTAGGAGAAGGATTTTAAATTCAATTCTGGATTTCACAGGGAGCCAGTGCAGAGAAGCTAAAACAGGAGAATTGTGATCTTGTTTCTTAGTTCCTGTCAGTACACGTACTGTGAAAAAAAAACACAGTCCGTGAGGCTTGTTTTAAATGGGAGTTAAAAGAGAAATCTTGATCAAATATTACTCCAAGGTTTCTTACGTTAGAGCTAGAGGCCAGAGCAATGCCATCCAGAGAAACTATATCATCAGATAAAGAGTTTCTGAGTTGTTTGGGGCCAATATCAATAACTTCAGTTTTGTCTGAATTTAACATCAGGAAATTGGAGCTCATCCAGGATTTTATGTCTTTAAGGCATTTTTGAAGTTTAGTTAATTGATCCGTTTCTTCTGGCTTTATCAATGAATAAAATAATTTGAAGTTACCTTTTTTGTCAGTTCCCATACACATTGGTAATTTTTTTTTAACTAGTGGTGTAATGGTACACCGGAGTCATGGTTTGGTTTATACAGTACCCTGGCTCAGGAGTCACAATTTGGTTCATACCATGGTTCACAAGTCATTGTTTGGTACGCACCAGGGTTCAGGAGTCACGGTTTGGTTAATACCCTGGCTCAGGAGTCACAGTTTGGTTTACTCCATGGTTCAGGAGTCACGGTTTGGTTCATAAACTGAATAAATCCAAATGTCAGCACTCACAAATATTATATATATCAGTCTTTTAATAACGCACAGCAGTATCGCAAACGGACGCGTTTCAGCACTTGGCTGACCAGCAAGGTCCTGGCTGTTAGATATGTGGGCTACACCGACTTTGTTTATTAACGCTGAGGAAAGCCAAGTGCTGAAACGCGTCCGTTTGCGACACTGCTGTGTGTTATTAAAAGACTGATATATATGATATTTGTGAGTGCTGACATTTGGATTTATTCAGTTTGTGATTTTTGGGTCGGCACCCTGTGACGGTGAGTCGAGCACGTCAAAAAATCTACTGTAATGAGACAGAATGCAGAATACTGTCTAAATCATTGTAACCAGTAGTAGCATGAACTATACCAAAATTGTTACTGTTTATTGCAGGTTTGCCATCTAAGATGTAAATTAATCAAGTTGTTTTCTTTTTTGGTCGTACCAATAAAATTGTTCTTCCTCCGTGATGCATAATATCACATATAACTACATTTGTACCTTACATTGTTACTGTATCCACAGTGTGGTAAAGTATTTGAATCCAACCACTTCAGTGGTTTTATACACTCCATTATTTCACAAAGCTTTTCAACATTCAAATAAACAACGGGGAAAAAATGCCTGTAGCTCAAGTGTGGGACATATTTAAAGAGTAGGCTTGCCCTTATCTTAACCATGCAAAACTTGTACCTTAATCAGTGTTAATTGACGAAAACTATGACAACATTTTTTTTCAATGACCTTTTTTCCATGATGAAAACAAGACAATGATGCGCTAAAAATAGATCTTGATAATAAAAACTGAGACAGGCGACAGGCTGGCAAACTCCACTAATTAGTCTGCAGCAGGATGTTTCACTAGCCAACAAAAACACTCACATTATGAGATGTAATTCAGCAGTAAATTTGGATTTGTGTTGCAGTAGTGGCTGTTAGTAGCTCTGCTTGTTAGCTGCTGAACAACTTGAGTTTTAATCACAGGCCCTATGAGAGGACATGAGTTTAAACCTCCAGATTAAGATGTTGCAGATTAAGAAAGAATTCAGGCTGTAATTAAGTTATTTTTCTGTTTCTTACAAGTGAGATGGATAAGTCAGAGTTTACAATTAACCTGGGTATAAATCCTATTTGTCTCAGGTTTGTTATTTGTGGTCAAAGTTTTTGAGAGCATAAACAGTGGAGATGTTGAGCTTGTAAAGTGTGTGCTAGTAAATCACCCCTTCAACCTATCGAAAACTGTGGCAGAAATGAGAGTTTGTAAGTGTGTGCAAATTATTTGTAGCTGTAGATAGAATTGTCTAAATGATTTTTTTATACAACCTTTCATCTTGATTCTAATTTCTAATACATGAATAAGCCTCACTGGATTACTTTAAAAATAAAAATACTGTACATATAGGCTAAAAGTTGACTAAAATGTTTGAATTTTCTAAAACTAATAAGTATTTTTGTCTCAAGTCTAAGACTAAATCTAAAATGGCTGTCAAAATTAACACTGACCTAAACCCAACCAGCCAATCACCCACCCATACCTACCAATTTCTGTCAAAACGCCCAGGTTCCAGAGTAGCCTCAGGCTTCATTTACATTAAGTATGTCTGTAAAGGGACATCCAGGTTTGCGCAAATGTCAGGTCAGCAAGGGAAATAATTAAATGGACTGCATTTGTATAATGCTTTTTTAGTCTTCTTGACCACTCAAAGTGCTTTTACACTACTGAGTCACATTCACTCATTCACACACACATTCACAAACTGGTGGCCGAGGCTGCCATACAGGGTGCCACCTACTACTTAGTAACCATTCATACACCCTCACACAAAGATAGAACAGCCATCGGGGGCAATTTGGAGTTCAGTATCTTGCTCAAGGATACCTCGACATGTGGACTGGAGGAGCTGGGGATCAAGCCTCCGATCTTCTGATTGTTGGACGAACCGCTCTACCTTTGAGCCACAGCCTCCCCTGTTGATTTATCCATTAGTCAATCAACATAAATTAACCCCACCGATTATTTGACAGTCATTTAGCAAAAATCCTAAGCATTAATTGATTTCAGCTTCTTAAATATTATGATTTGTCACACTGCCTTGTTTTGTATCATTATAAATTGAGTATCTTTGTTTTTTGGACTATTGCAATTTAAAAAATGTCACCTTGAGGTCAAGAAACATGCAATTGGTGTTTTTCAATATTTTCTAAACTTTTTTAAACTAAATTATTTATCAGTTAACCTGACAAATAATGAACAAAAGTGTATGTTCCATTACATGAAATATCTGCCCTGTGGGTGACCTCACTTTAAGGACAAATTCTGATTCTGTCTTGTGTTGTATAAGCTTTTCTCCAACAGGAGAGCAGGTCTCTGGGAGGCAGTGAACTCAGCTCAGCTTGTGAAAACCCATATTCCTTACTGTTTGATAGCCA